GGATGGATGGATGGATGGATGGATGGATGGATGGATGGATGGATGGATGGATGGATGGATGGATGGATAAATGATAAATAGATGGGTGGATGAACGGATGAACAAACCAGAGTGAAGATCATTATTTGTATGTCAATATGACTGAATTATATCAGTTTCCCTCCTTTTGTTTTATCACCTATAAGCATTTTGTTTCCTTTCATCGGAGTCATTGTCTTTTCATGTTTGTACCTTCAGGAAAGCTCCAGGACTTTAAGAACTTCCTTCTCCAGGACCCAGAGACAGTGGCTCGTATCGCCGATCTGCGACACCGGGTCGAGGCTTTTGCCAGGCCGTTCCCCATGCCTGGGTTCCCCGACCATTAGGCCAGCCCGCGTGGAGCCACTGCTCTGTAACAGCCAGGTGGCAGACAGCTGGCTGGGCAGGCATGTGCACAGTGAAAATGGAAAAATGTCATGGTAGTGAAATGTGGATGGTGCCTGAGAATTGGAACGACTCAAGTAAATTTTTCCAGTCTGATCTCTGGAACCACATTTTTATTTTTTTACTTTTTGCTGTCAATCACAAGTCTATTCTTGTAAAATCATAACCTTCAGTTTGAGGTAAATAAACAAAAAAAAAAGTGATGACAGACTTTGTGCAGCAGAAGAACCCTGTTATCTGTGTTGTGTGAAGATTATTCTCAGCTGTCTTCACACTGTTCATTTAAAGCAAGCGTGAAGAAAAAGAAAATGTCAAATCAAAGAAAGACCAACATTTTGTCTCCGTCTCTGACTTTTCTAAGTGAAAATATTAGCTTTAGGACACACACAGTCTTAATTTTTCTTAAGATTCCTAACCAGCTTCACTCCTCTTATTTTCACAGTAAGATTTGTAGATGACAGCTTCGTCTGAGGTGTTTTTGTCCAAATATAACTTTTATTTTTCTTTTTTTGAAAACTACTTCAAAATAGAAACAAGTTTATTAAAGTAAGATAATACAGAATGTGGATTGAATATATTTACTTTATGCAACACTACAAATCATGCTCATAAAATGTTTAAAACTTCCATTTCGTAGTGTTATAAATGAGGAAACATAAATGTTACATTTATAAAACTTCCTACTTTCCTTTCAGATTTTTTACAAGAACATGCATGTATATATATATATATATATATATATATATATATATAGTTAGAAAATAAATAAATATCAAATTGCCACTATTTCAATTTAGTTTTCTGTACAATGCTCTTTTTTTATTATTTGTATTTCATCTGTCTATAGGACTTCTTTTTTTAAATTGTTTTAATGATTAAAACTACAAAATGTGTTTGATTAATTTAAACCTTTTTGTGTTTTAGTTTAACCGTTTCACAGTTTCACTCGTCATTGTCACTGCATCAGTGCGGAAGAAAAGATTTTTGTCAAATGGTCTTAATAGCACAATTAAGAAAAAATTTTGAACAATATAAGTTTTTTTTTTTAACTTTGAAAAAGCAAATCTAAACCATGCCCATATCTGGGTTTATTAAAAAATGTATTTGCCAATATCTACCAGTCAGTATTTTTGCTATGATGTTCATTGATCAACTGTTGTACACTGCAACGATTTTAAACTGTTTTACAGAAGATGTAATTGTATTAACACAGTCCTAATAAAACGTCATAATTCAATAAAAGGTTTGTCTTGTTTTTTTTGTTGTTTTTTTTTTAGAACTGATGTAAGCGGGTAAATCTCTGCATGCAGCAATAATTGTGTGAATCATTTAACTGTCAACAATGGTGTACCACAAGGCTCAGTCTAAGGACACCTCCACTTTACAATCTACATAAGTAATGTACCGGTAGGTCAGATCATTCCTGATGCATCCTTACATTTTTATGTCAACGATGTTTATTGTATAGCTAAATCAGTTGCTAAGGTTTTCCAGCTTTTACAGTGCATTAAAGGATGAATGAATGAAATTCAACATACTCCAGTCAGATTTGTTTCGTCTCAAACTGGTGCTAAATACTGTTTGAAAACAACATCCCTTTGGTTCTATTTTGTATAGGCTTCGCCCTTTAAGAGCTGTCGCTTAGTGGGTTTATCCCGTCACGCAAAGCATCGCACTGAAAAATTTAGTCCACGCCCACCTGTTGTGTGGGCCCCACCCGGTCCGTATAAGTTACATTAAGAGTGGGTAATCGGCTCCCATTTTTCTTCAGCGAGCTAATGGCACTGTCAGAAGAACGAAGATGGGATGTTGTCTAGCTTGACCAGCTCAACCTTTGTTGGGGCTGCCTGTGGCCCTGCCACGCCAACCTCCTGCCGTCCCGGTGAATTTTCCTCCCTGAGGAGAAGCACACGAGCAGTCTTGTTTCAAGGTAAGCGCAGAGGAATATTTCTCAGTGGCGGGTCGCTACACGCTGGACGACGCCATCTTGTAATTTTCCTTTTATCGCCGACTCTCGGAGCGAATCGGATGGCTCCTCTGGGACAGGTAAAGTCAGCAGCGCCCCCCCCCCCCCCGCTGCTCACTCTCCTGGAGAGCATAGTGTGGGAACGAGGGGGGCTGAGCGAATGCTCACCCCTCCCCAAACCTTATTCGCATCAGCGGCCACACCGCTACCAGCCGTCGGTGCCCTCCTCTGGAGCTGCCCGTCATAATCCAGGAGGCGGCTGACATGAAGGGACTTTTTCCGTCCCTCTTTCACCAGGATCCAGATCGGATGATCTAGCGGGAAGGTTTCTGGGCTCCACCCTGGCTTGCTGTCCTGATCCCATCTGGCCTCGTTTTCCCAGCAGTGATGTCCTGCTGGGAACGAGGCCACAGCCGGTTCTGGTAGACTCTACAGATGTAACCTCATTTAAACTCACATCTGACTGCATGCATTACAGTGTGAGATGTTATCAGTCACAGGTTGTGACTGTTGTTCTGGTTCTATTGTCACTAATCAGTTCATGACTATTGTTGCCAATCAGTTCATTTGATTAATAATCAATTCACTAGTTATTATTAATCTGTTCATATTGATCAGCCGTGAATCTGTTGGTTCATGGCCCCTTTTCAGCATCTTCCTTTTCCCGTTGAAAGTTTTCCGGGGCGTTCATGCACTCAGAATGCATACGCAGCATGCGATTGTGCATGATACGCATAATTACGCAACACGTAATTACGCACATGGAGAGCTGAGTGACAAGATGTTTTTGGGCAAGCTGCCGCTTCGTATGGTGTTCGAATGGACCCAGTGAGGTGAGGACTACATCTGCTTCGTCCTTAACCCACTAAGCGACAGCTCTTAAAGGGCTAAGCCTATACGAAATAGAATGTTGGTTACGTACTGTAACCCCAGATTCTATGAGTATAGGCGTAGCCCTTGAAGCGTCGTGCCTCACTGACTCCTAAATGGCTGAAGAAAAAGCTATTTTGGAGCCGATTACCCGCTCTTAACGTAACTTATACGGACCGGGTGGGGCCCACACAACAGGTGGGCGTGGACTAAATTTTTCAGTGCGATGCTTTGCATGACGGGATGAACCCACTAAGCGACAGCTCTAAAAGGGCTACGCCTATACTCATAGAATCTGGGGTTACAGTACGTAACTAACGTTTTATCAGCAAGTCTGTACCAGCAGTCTTCCTTTGTATCATGACTACGAGTGGTGTTCCTATTGAGTTTGTCAATTTCTACAAATACTTGGAAATCTTGATCGATGCACCTCTCTCTTCAGCCTCATGTCGAAAACTTGGTAAAGAAATTGAAAGTAAAACTTTTTTTTTTTTTTTTTTCAGAAATAGATCTTTTAACTGAATGCTAGGAAACATTGTAAATAACTTTCCTTCTGGCCATTGACTGGTGACATTATTTACATGAACGCTCCTGCAAGCACCTTGCAGATGTTGGATACTATCATTTTTTCTAAGATTCATAACTGGCTGTAATTATTGTACACATCACTGCACCCTGTATTCACTAGTTAACTGGTCATTAACTTCACGCAGACTCTCATTGGTACATTTTCGTCTTTAACTCGCTTTTTAGTCTGCTGCCGTCATATTTCCTACATGTCATGTCCGTGAAGCTACAGCGTGCACTCTCAAGACATCATTACCTGAAGTGTCCCCTCAGCGCAGACAGAATTCGGTAAAAGGGCCTTCTACTCCGCTCCCGTTTTTTGGAACACCTTGCAAAAAGATCTGAAGCTGTCAACCTTGACCTCTCTAAGGGATTTTAAACAATTGCTAAGTTCAATGCAGACATATTCCCGTTTTTAGTATTTTACATCACTTTATAATAGCTTATTTCATTTTATATCACTACTTGTATCTACTTTTCACTTTATATGTTTTTATGACTATTGTGTGTACCTCATCTGTGTTTTTTTGTTTAAAACAGGTCTCTCGTGTAAATTAGTCCCTGTGGCTCAATGAGACTATAACCTGTATAAATAAAGGTTGAATTACTGGTAGGTAGTAAGCTGTGACTTTTCTTAGGTCTAAAGAATTGTCATTAAAGAAACAATTTTTAAAAAGTCAAAATTACTTTTCAGTGCTACAGTTTATAGTCTTCATTTATAGGTTATACCAGTTTTTCCATGATTTAAATGGTTGAATATTTAACTGTGAAGTTTTTTTTATGCAAACACAAGTGTATATTTAGCTACAACTTATGTTTTTATAATTTCATCTGCATTTACTGACTAAAACTAAATGTAACCTCAGTGTTAAATGGTAAGCCCAGCGATCTATTGCAGTTTATTATTTTCATGGCATAACCATCCCATCACAACACAAATCAAATATATTCTTTCTAATCGGGAGCTCCACCATTTCTTAGCACAACAAAGTTACTGTTGCGCAGATTGTTTAGCAACGGTCTTGTGTGAAAACCCAGGACTTTATGCTTTTTAAAATAAACCAAAGAGTCATTCCACATATGCCATTATCCTTTAATGAATACAAATAACAGGAGAGAACAGAAGCATGTTGGGAAAAACTCTTGGTTTACAGCTGTGCAGGTTTGTGTCCATCACTGTTCACAAATTGTTGTTTTTTTATTATTATTTTGCATGAGTCAAAATCTCTAAGCATTGGTCACCAGTTGTATTGCTGTTAGTAAACTGACCTAAATCTGAGAACCTCTGGATAATAAGGAAAATTATTTTGTACTTGTGATTTACAGTCTGCATTAACTGCTCCCTTTGTTGGAGCACCTGCTTTGTTTCTTCACATGTTTGCATTTCAAAAAGAACATCTCCTGCAGAAAGATTGATAAACTAGCTCTGTTAAAACAGACTTTGGATTGTACTGCCTGCCTGATAAAAAAAAACAACAACACATGTCTAGTGGTCTCCACCGGCCTGTAGGTTTGAGAACTTTCCTGCTTCAATTGCTTTTAATAAGATCTTTAATGGGCTTCTGAAGGATTTCATGGCCTGCTGATGAAGTAATTCCATTATTTGAATCGTGTGTTGGAGCTGGAGAACGTCTCAGACATGCAGGACAGTGGGTTAAGGCCAGAGTATAAAACATGGCTATTCACCTAAATCGCCCAGTGTCCACAGTTACTGCAGCCAAGAGCTCTGGGGCTGGACATCCAGCAATTATTGTGATAAAGTTTGTTTTATGCTTTAAAATCTAGTTTTATTTAAAAACCTATTGGTGGGCCGAACTGAGCTCACCTAAGGGCCTGATTTGGCCCCCGAGCCAGCAGTTGAATAGCTCTGGTACAGAGTGTCTGTTCTTGCCTGAAGATGGATCAATGGATGACTTCCTTTCTGCACCTTTCAAGAACTCTGAATTCACCGACTGACGCTGGAGACTTCTTGTTCTACATGTAAGTTTTAAACTGACAGCTTCGTTCTTGTGATTCACTCACGTCGACTGAGAACTTGGATCGGTCCACTCTGTGTATTAAACCTGCAAAATTATTGATTAATGAAGAGCGAAGTTAGTTTGGACCACTCTCTGTCAACCGAGTGTCAAATAGAACGTTTTTGTGAACCAACGTTTCACTATTTTTTGGGTTACTTTTGAACACATTCATTTCATGCACTGTTGGATTCAGCGTTCATACGAGGAAAATAAATTTGTCTAAAT